TTAACATAGTCACGCCTACACTTTAGGAAAGTCCCTTTGAGAGAAACTCATTCTTCTTTATTTACTGTTGTGTCTGATGTGTTCTGGGGGCCAAAGGGAAAAAGCCTTAGATCTGATAAATGCTTCAATCATAGAAAGATTCTTATGAAATAATAAAATAATTCAGTTACTAAAACTTTTTCTCCTTACCCTCATCGGGACCTGTGATTTCATCCATGTAGGGAACTCCCTGTGTGGAAATTCCCGTCACTTATGCAGATTAGCAATTCATGTGTAACGTATGCTTTATTAAAAATAAAATACCACGAATGACTTGAAAGTAACTGAGTAAGTTACAGCTGCTCTGATGAGAACACCCCTCAGACCGCGCTATGAGAAGTCTGCGTCTACGACTGGGGTCAAATGAAGCATTGTCCTGTTTTCTAATTTAAGCCCCTATTTACCTGTGACCCTTTAGCTACCAGTGCCTTGGACTTCTTTAGCCCAAGGACCCCAGTGCATTGACAGAGTAAGGGCATCATCTTTGTTGGTGAGAAAGACTCCCTCAGATTTTCCTGAGCAAACTCCCTGGCACTGAGTTGTTCTATAGGTCAAATCCTGTTCTAACCACAAGACCAAATCATTTATTGCAATAGAGTTGAGCATCATATACTTAGAACTGGAAAGAACTTCAGGGATCCCTGAATCCAACCCTTTCATTTTACAGATGAGGAAACTGAGCCACAAACAGGTGAAGTGACTTGTCTGAGGCTGTCTAGCTACTTAGTGGAGGAGTTTGAATTTGAACTCACATCCTCTGACATGATATCTAGGGCTCTTTCCCCTGCCTCAGGATAAAAAGTGAAATTCCAACTGATTTCTACCTTCTCAGCAATTAGAGGGGTCCCAGTGCTAAGCCAACACCTGGCATAGTGCCTGGTATACAGTAGGCACTTACATTCTTATTGATTTGACCTGTTGATTGGTGTGGGGATATGTATGTGGGGGGTATACATATACACAAGAGAATTTCCTTTGGAGATTAATGTGACCCATAGTACAAGGGCGTATGGAATAAGGAAGGTCATATGTGACTATTCCTCTTGCAAATATGAGTAGGGAAGAATTAAGAATACAAGATTAAAAAAAAAACAACTCAACTCTAGCCCAGATCAATTAACTTCTCCATGGAAGGGTACTGTTCTTAAATTTGTCTTGAAGACCGCTATGGAAGTTTAAATCTGTACCTTTCCTACGTCACTTAAACTCAATGAGATTCCCTAATGGGGAAAACAAACTTGTTTGCCCCATTTTTATCTGTGCTTGATTTATTAATTAATTTATTAAAGGTGCCTGAGGTCCTCTCAGCCTGGAAACTCATAAAAGGTTCCAGTCTCTGTCGGTATACCTCAGTATAAAAATGCTCTCAACTGATCTATGATTCTACATAGAACTGACTTCCAGGGATGAGGTTTGGTGAACAACTTCATTTCCTGAAACCAAAACAAAATGGGACCTCAAGGGTAGTGATGAAGGAGAACCTATATGTCCTTGTATCCTCTGAATGAGTGTGTGTGTGAAGGTTCTTAATAAATTCTGTAGTTAGTTTAGAGGTGACTATATTTCTGTTCTTGGAGAGCCCAGACCATCCTGAGGCAAGGAGATTCTTATCTGGGTAAAAAGTGGACTAGCTAGGCCTCCCAGGTCCCTTACCACTCTGTGATTTCATGAATGAATGAGGCTGAGATTCAAGAAACTGTGCTGAATTATACAATAGGTTAACTTATTTTTACCCCCGTGAGCTTTCTGATGTATTCTTGAACTTCACAGTTGCTGTATAGGAAAGTATGGGAGGGGGAGAGAGGAGTTGGGAGCCATTTAAAATGATAGTGAAAAGGAAATGCTCCAAAGCTTTCCAGATCTTGAGAAGACTCAATTCACTTAATGCTGCCTTTCTACCTAAAAGTTCAGAGCAAAAAGAAATACATGGGCAAATTCATATAATATTAAATCACTCATTTAAAAGCATTTTAATGGGCTAAACCCATTTCATCTTACATTTCAACGTCTAAATAGGCTGCCTTGATCACAAAATAGCCATACAGCTGAATTAGTTACTTTGGGTAGGTTCCAAAGGGGAAACCATTTAGCCCTAGACCACATCTGAAAGTGGCTGTGGTAGAAAGTAAATCATCAGTGTCATCTGAAATAAAAATATAGAATAGAATATAAATAAATAGATAAACAAACATAAATAAATAAATAATATAAATAAGAATATGAATCTTTTCCAAATTGTTTCACATGTGGGAAAATAAGTGCAGTGCATAAGGCTGATAGTCCTGTGCCATTAATTAGCTATGAAACTTTGAACAAGTCATTGCATTTCTCTGGTCTTTTGTTTCCTCATCTATGAAATGAGAGGGTTGAACTAAAGTCTAAGGCTCTTTCCAGCTCTAAATTCCTTTGTTTTATGTCTAAATTACTGAATTGGTGTTAGAAACTCAAACATCTAGGGCCCAGTTGTAATCAGCAAATTCCCCAGAATGCTGGTGGCTTTTAGCAGTAAGGCAAGGACAGTCTTGATGGGGTGAGGTGGGTACTGGACAGCTCCAATCATGTATTGGGCCAGAGTGGAAATGTGGGTGGAAGTGGAAGTGGGTTTGGGATGGAAGTCATCTCAAGATAATTCTCACTAATTAATCTTATTCCTTCAGGTGTGTTGAATACTCTGTGTTCTAAAAGAAATTGCTCTTAGGAAGATCTTTAGGATAGAGGGTGAGCTCAGCTACCATTCCAGTTACCCATAAGCAGTTTTAATACATCCTAGTACCTTGGAGGGCTACAGACAGATCAGTTTTTGAGGAGCTGATTATGGCAGGAATCTCCTCTCTGCCTGGCCATACGTGCCCTTGATTACGTCTTTTCTAGCATTCCATATATGTGATTCTTCATTGGTTATGTATGCTGCAGCCTACTTGAATCAGCTACATGTCTTTTCATTGGTGTTTGGGTTCTTCTGAAAGGGTGGTGTTTTAATATTCCCAGCCAGAAAACATTACTGGGAGAATGTTGGTATTAAAAGATGAGTTTTAGGAGCAGAGAACAATTTGCTATCCTTGAAAGTCCTTTGCAGTTTCCCATATAAGCCAGCTGATCCTCTCTCCTGCCCCATCATCTTCTTATCCAATTCAGAGACAGTCCTGTGGTTTGGTGCTGATGTGATTATGACTCTTATTCACATCACACATCTTGTGCATGCTCCCACTGGAACTGAGGTCAGGATTTGGAAATCAGAGTAAAATGGAATCACTGGTAAAAAGGATTAAACTGGTTACTTTAGGGATATAGAAAAAAACCTGCAAGAGAACTTCCTGTCCTCCGCAAGGTGCTGAACATCAGCCAGTTTCTCTCTTCCCCAGCAAAGTCTAGGGAGAAAGATAAGCTATGAACCCTAGAGTAACAATCTGGTTGCCATGAGGTGTCTTGAACTCATGCCATTTTAATCCATGAGTCAGACTGTTTTTCAATTGAACGTGTGAGGCATTGAAACTTTGCTCTTGTTGCCAAAAATAATGTAAGGCTCCTTGGACTATAATTTCACAGCATCCAGTCTCTGAAGGTGGGAAGGCCTTTACTGGCCATCTAGTTCAGCTCCCTCACCTTTCAGATGAGGAAATTGAAGCCAAGGAAAGTGAAAGGAGTTACCCAAGGTCCCACAGAAGCAGGATTGCTTTTGCCCCCTGCACCACAATGTGTCATTACAAGATTTCAGTTTGGGACACGTTCTGATATGAATGTTGGCGGAGACCATTGAGACCCTCCTTGCGATAGGTGCCATAGCTACCTTCAAATATCTGAAGGGTGGTCATGTAAAAGAGAGGGCAATAGTAGGAGCGAAGCACAAGGTTGCCCAGAGGCAGATCTGTGCTTGATTTAAAAACATTCCCTAACAATTAGAGCTATGCCCATGAGGAATGGGCCCCTGGGAGGTGCTCAAGCAAAAGCTTGAGGACCACTCATGAGGGATGCTTTGGAAGGGTTTCCAAGTACAAGTTGGATTAGACGGTCCCCAATATTCCTTCCAGCCTTGAGATTTTGTGTTTCACGTGGTGGAAAACATCCCCAGAGAACTGAGGCAAGAATTTCTCATTAACTTTATGACTTGAGGAAGGGACCTGTTGGCTCAGAATTTGTTAGGCCTCTTCAAGGAGATCCTAGGAGAAATTATAGCACAGGTGGAGAATCAGCGTGGTAAACTACCTCAAGTAAAATTTGCAAGTCTAGCAGACTCCAGCCAGAAGGTTGAATCATCATTGTGTTTATTAGAACGGAAAGCCAGTGAGCATGTCCAAAGTGTTCAGCTTATTAATGCTTTGTAAATGTCAGTTGTACACATAGTAGGTTGCTTTAAGATTATAGTTAAGGTAGGGAAACTAATACAAGCCTTTGGAACAATGAACAGGGTCTTTCACCTTGGTGATATGATGAGAGGACCGATTTTCTATTTCTTAATTTCAAATGAAATGGTCATGATCACATTGGTGAATATAGAGATATTGAAAGCATTCTTCCCTCTAAATAGAGTGCTCTTAACCTGGGAGGTCTGTGAACCTTGATTAAAAAAAATTCATAATTCAGTCTAATTGGTTTCCTTTTTAATCTTACGTATTTTATCTTATGTGATTAAAAACATTGTTCTTAGGGGCAGCTAGGTGGCACAGTGGATAGAGCTCTGGCCTTGGAGTCAGGAGGACCTGAGTTCAAATCCAGCCTCAGACACTTGCCACTTACTAGCTGTGTGATCCTGGGCAAGTCACTTAACCCTGAGTACCTCACCAAAAAGCAAAAACAAAAAAAATAAAATAAAAACATTGTTCTTAGAAGGGGTTCATAGGATTTACCAGATTGCCAGAGGGGTTCATGACACACAAAAAAGGTTAAGAACCTCTGATCTAGCCTCTAGAAGGCTGTTTTCAGAAAATAGAGAAAGCAGGAGTTATATACATACTATTTTACAGGCCAGTTGGAAGAGAAAGCAATCTTTGCAACTGCTTGGGCCTCTGAAAATCTGAGGGCAAAGATGAAGAAAGTCGCCAGAGCTTCAAGGAACTCCATTCTCTACACTTTCCATCTCCCTCATCACACTCCCAGCACAACCTCTCCTCCAGGTGACAGTTGTCCTTCCTCACCACCCCAACACACACACACACGCACACAAACCCCACAAAATAAAATCAATAGTTAGTGATAGACGTTTGAATTTAAAGGGAGAATTTATTTTCAAATACATTTTTATTTGTATCTTTTTTTTTTACATCACATTTCCCACTACATCCCTCCTCCAAACCCCTTCAGAAAGCCATCCCTCATAATAAAGAAGAAAAAAATAGTTCATTAACTTATTGAAACTATCTGCTATTACATGCAGTATTCCACATCTGTAGTCTGCCACCTTTTTTAAAGAAGCAGGGAAACATGTCAACTTATATCTTTTTTGGGGGGGCGGTATAAAACTTTCGTCATTATAATTTCAGTTTTGACTCTTTTGTCTGTAGTTCTTTTCATTTACACTGTTGTAGTTGTGTATGTATATTGTTTCACTGATCCTCCTTGTTTCAGTTTGCATAAGTTCATATAGGTCTTCTCATACTTCTCTGTATCATTTGTATTTATTGTTTCTTATAGCACAGTAACATTTCATTACATTAATGTGGGAGGATTTGCTTAGCCATTCCTTAATTAATGGGTATCCACTTTGACTCTCACTCTTCGCTACTAAAAAAAAAAGTGCCAGTATAAATGGCTAAATACGCTTTGTGTATATAGATGTTCTATTTTTGTCTTTTTATATCTCATTGGGGTATAAGTCTAGCAACGGAGTCTCAGGGTAAAATGGTATGGACATTTTAGTCATTCTCTTCACGTAGTTCCAAATTGCTTTCCAGAATGTTTGGTCTAATTCACAGGTCTACCAACAATGTATTTGTACACCTTTCTTTCCACAACCCAACATTAATTATCTGCCATATTTTGTCATCCTTGGCAATTTTCTGACTGTGGAATAAAACTTCCGAGTTGTTTTGATGTACATTTATAGATGTAATTTAGGGTAATTTAGAGCCTTTTTTTCATTTGGTTGCAATTCTTCTTTGGAGAACTGTTTATTCATATCCTTTAATCAGTTATCTTTGGAGAACTGTTTATTCATATCATTTAATCAGTTATCTGTTGAAGAATGACTGTCGGTCTTATATGGTGCTGTTGGTTATCTATAGATTTGGGATCACATCTTTATCATATCTATTTTATACAAATATTTCCCCAGTTGAATGTTTTCCTTCTTACCTAAGTTACACTAATTTTGTTCATACAAAGGATTTTCAGTTTCATATCATCAAAATTATTTACTTTATACTTTAGAATCACCTATACACTTGTTGCTTGGATAATAAGCACTGGAAAACACCATAGAAGAGAGATAACCTCAGCCGGTCCAGAATAGGGTATGAGACCAGAAAGGGAATTACGCTATGTACCTACATGTCCAGACTATGCTATACAGGGAAGGAAGATAGTTCAAGGAACAGGAAAATTCATACTGATCCCAGACCAGAACAGCTGGGGAGAAAAGAGACAGGAAATCCCAAGGCAAATACAGTGGTATGCTTATGCTACCTTAAGCACATCAATCTGTGTTAGTGGTCAGTGATCAAGTGCTTTAATGCTTGAATGAATTTTATAGTCAGAAGTTGAGTGTGACAATTTTCAAGTCAAGTAGAAGATCAGTATGGGTCTTCATGGGAACTAATGGATAGTGCCATCAGGAAGCCAACAATCTCCCAAGGCTCCCCTGTAAAACACTGGGTTGAGGCATGTAGAGCCATGCAAGTCTTTTAACTTATTGTAAAGGGATGCTTGTGGTTTTCTCTATTCTCTTTGTTCTTTTTCTTTTTCCTCTTTTTTGTTGCCTCATGGGCCAGTCAGGTGGTCCAGGCAGGGCAGAGTGGATCATCGACCTCTAAGAGAGATGATCTCTTAGGAGGAGAGGGGTCCAGATGTTGTCTCTAGCATTATGGATGAAAACCTTAGACTCCCTTCTCTCCTATTGAAGGAGACCCACTGGGCCTGGCTGATGCATCCCAGTTTCCTCAGGGTTTTTACAAGATCCTGGCGGAATTTTTCACCCACAAAAACATAAAGAATTGGGTTCAGGCAGCTGTGGAAGTATGCAATGGTCTGCGTAACCTGGAAACAGATATCAATGTGGGTGGAAATGTCACAGTCTGTGATGAACATCCTGTATGCATCGATGGTTTGCACCAATAAAATGATATTGTAGGGAAACTGAGATACAACAAAGACTGTGAGGACCAAGATGGTCACTTTTAAGGCTTTGTGTTTAGATGACTTCTTGGCTTGCATCAGGGTGTGAATGACGATGGTGTAACAGACAGCCATGACAATGAGTGGGAGGAAGAATCCCAGAATAAATTTTAGCATCAGAACAATGGGCTTGAGCCTGCCGTCATCGTAGACCATCGTACAGGTGTGGATGTCGGAATGCGTCTTGCTCTGGCTGTACAGGTATTCTGGGATACACAGGGTGATCGTCACCATCCAGATGGCGAAACACACCATTTTGCTGTAGAGAAGACGCTTCCGCCTCCAGCGATGGGCTTTCATGGCCTGAGCAATGACAATGTATCTGTCAATACTGATACACATGAGAAGCAGCATGCAGCTGTAAAAGTTCATCTTGTACATGGCGTTGACCAGCTTGCACATGTTGTTACCGAATTTCCACTGTTCAGAAGCCTCGACGGCCCAGAAGGGCAGAGTGAGGAGGAAGAGGAGGTCAGCAATTGCCAGGTTCAGCAGGAACATATCCGTCATGGTCTTCACTCTTGTACAATACCAGTACATGACGATGACCAGACTATTGCCGAAAGTCCCTACCACAAACACAAGCCAGTAGAAGGGTGGAAGGAAGTAGTTAGCCAGCTGCCTGACGCTGGTCTTCCTGCACATGTCATTGATGTAATCCAGGGGAATAGTGGAATTGTAGTCAAAGCTATCCTGCAAACGGTCAACAGAGACAATTAAGGAATAGGCATTTGTTTAGCACCTACTGCATGCCATACCAACTATTCTCTCATTCAGTCCCCACAACAGCCCTCAGAGGTAGGTGTTATTACTGTGCCCGTGTTACAGCTGAAGAAGGTGAAGCAGACAGAGGTTAAGTGACTTGCCCAGGAGCATCCAGCTAGTAAGTGTCTGAGACTGGATGTGAATTCAGGTCCCCCTGACTGCAGGTCTAGCCTCTGTCTACTGCAGTACCCAGCAGATCAAGGAATTCACACCAAAGGCAGAGAGCCGTAGAGTAAGAGAGAAGGACAAACACAGTCTGTCCTAAAGGCAGAAGCCCTTAATGTCTCTTCTGATGTCTTGAGTCTAAGATAAGACAGAAAGAGGTTTGAACAGAGTGTCTACTTCGCAGTGGGATGTAGAAATTCTATGACTGTCTGTTTGATTTTTACCACTAGATTAGCCCCGGTGGTTCTCAAATGTAGCAGTCAGGCACTTCATATGCTACCAGCGCCCAGAGTTGGCATTGCCAAACAGATCCATAACTAGGGTGGGGAGACTGGGGCTTTGCCTGAAAGTGTCAAATTTTGAGGGCACTAGCTACACTTGAAGTCCTTCTGAAGTACAGAAATTGCAAAGCGCAGCAACTAGTCAACAGGAAAAATTAGTTAAAATAGGAAGCTACCAGACTGGAGCAAACTCCTGCTCCATCCCACCCTGCTCCTGACTCCTCAGCTTCTACAGTCTCTGTGATCTCTTCCCCAACCTTTGTCTGAGGACCCACTTCCTCCAGCTTGCCCCAGGAGCACTTGGAGGTATTTGGTCTAGGCACCAAAATTGCTACTTATAGTTCTGTTGACAAGGGGGAAAAAATGGATCTAGTTATCCACCCAACTGACTCTAAGTACACATCTAATTTCCTCTCCCCCTCCCCACCCCATCCCTGCAAACACACAAACACATACCACATAAACTGGGAAGGAAGTAGTGGGAAATAGTCTTTTAAGAAGTAGTCTAAAAAAGGGGGGCCGCTAGGTGGCGCAGTGAATAGAGCACCGGCCCTGGAGTCAGGTGGACCCAAGTTCAAATCCAGCCTCAGACACTTGACACTTACTAGCAGTGTGACCCTGGGCAAGTCACTTAACCCCATTACCTAGCTTCCCCCTCCCCCCGCCAAAATGTAGTCTATTAAGATTGTACCCTGACTAGATACACTGTCTATCTACTTAACCTTTGGGCTCATGGACCCCGTTGGCAGTTTGGTGAAAACTGTGGATCCTTTCTCAGAAAAATAATATTCATAATTGAAAGAAATGCTAAATTTCAGTTAGAGGTTAGTGAAAATCAATTTTCTTTTCCTATTCGAGTTCATGGACCCCTGAAATGGTAGGGGTCTGTAGAGCCCAGGTTAAGAATCCCTGGTCTCATGGAAAGGGGGGCTGCCTTAGGAGTCAGGAGCCTGGCACACTAGCACCACCTCTGAATATGAGGCTTTTGTAATTAAAGGGTCAGCTTTCCCTTCTGTGAAATGGCCCAACACCCCAGCGATAATAGTGAAGGGCACCATTGACTCTGAGAGGAAATGAACAAATCTCAGGGAAGCAGCTGGACAGAAAACTCTCATTTCTCTTAAGAACATTTCTTCCGTGTGGTATTGAGGAAGGAGTGCTGGTTCTACAGTTGGCGTCTTTAGGCAGGTCATGCAACATGCCTGGAGCTCAGTTTTCTCATCTGCAAATGTAAGGTGAGGACTACATGGCCAATGAATTGTATAAATTGGTATTCCCAAGGGATTCTCAACCTTTGTTGAGTCGTGGGCCCCTCTGGCACAGGCTGGGGAAGCATATGGACCACTTTTCAGAGTAAAGTTTTTAAATGTACAAAATAATAAGAGTCAATTAATAGTCAGTTGATAAACATTTATTAAGCACCTACTATGTGCGAGGCACTGTGCTAAACAATGAGGATACAAAAGGAGGCAAAAGAGTCCCTGTGCTCAAGGAGTTTAACACATAGGTACACACAAGCCATCTACGGGAGAAATAAGAAAGAATTGGCAGAGGAAAGACACTAGAACTGAGAGGGGTTGGGGAAAGCTTCCTGTAGAAAATGGGATTTTAATTGGGACTTAAAGGAAGCCAGGAAAGCCGGTAGGCTGAGTTGAGGAGGCATGGTGGACAGCCAGAGAAGATGCCCAGAGGAAGGGTTGGAGCAGCCTGGAGGCCAGCATCATTGCACCAAAGAGGATGTGATAGGGTGTGAGGTGTGAGAAGACTGGAAGGGCAGGAGGAGGCTAGGATGTGAAAGGCTTTGATGCCAGGCTCAGCCTTTTGTATTTGATCCAGGAGGCAATATGGACTCACTGGAGTGTGTTGAGTAGGACATGGGGGGTGATGAACTTTAGGAAAATCACTTTGGCAGCTGTTTGGAGGATCGGAGTGAGGAGAGAGTTGAGGCAGGCAGACCCACCAGCAGCTACTGGGATAGTCCAACCAGGAGATGATGAGGGTCTGCAGCAGGGGAGTGGCAGCATCAGGGGAGAGAAGGGGCTGTAGTGGAGAGATGTGTTAGAGGTGAAGCTGACAGACCTCGGTAACAGCTTGGACATAGGGGATGAGAAAGAGGTGAGGATTCCAGGCTGATTCCTAGGCTGTGAGCTCCAGCGACGGAGTTACCAACAGTAACAGGGAAGTTAGAAGGGAGGGAAGAAACCCATAAAGTTAAAAAATAAACCAATTACATTGAAATATAGTTATCAAGATTTTTTTTAAAGTCCAGAGGTCCCAAGTTAAAACCTAATCTACAGATAAGAGTCTTGGATAATTGACTCCACCATCTCCTCTGCCACCCCTCTTCAGGTAATGACATATGTGCTTGAGGGTTAGAAAATTCTTTGAGCTTAACAGAAAGTCTCTTACAAGCCCTTAATTGTCAGTGAAAACATTTCCAGATGTTCCATTTGATTAAAGCAACAATTTCTTTTTCACATGTTCACATCAGCTGTTATTTTATATGTCAATGCAGAGTAGAATAGATATTCAGTACTGTGCCAGTGGTAATGGCTTGCAGTTATAAGTGCTTCTTGGCCATAAAGAAATGTGGGTTATGGTCTTGACTCAATTTGGACTTGTCAATCAGGAATTTACTTATTCAGGAGTTAGGTTTTAGTCCTATTGTAAACAGTAATTATTTTTTAGCTTTGGGAAAGCACTGCACCTTATTATGAACTGCCTTTCTGTGAAACTAGGAGCGAGAGAACATCCTTGTCAAGAAATAAAAGATGTTATACAAATTAGGAGATCTGCGAAATTTAAGCTTTTTATCTCTTTTTGTGGTCCTGCTGTTGTTCAGTCATGTCTGATCTCTCATGACCCCATGTGGGGTTTTCTTGGCAGAGATACTGGAGTGGTTTGCCATTTCCTACTCCAGCTCATTTGATAGATGAGGAAGCTGAGGCAAACAGGATTAAGTGACTTGCCCAGGGTCACACAGCTAGTAAGTGTCTGAGGCCGGATTTGAACTCAGAAAGAGAAGTCTTTGATTCCAGGTTGGGCACTCTATCCACTGTGTCACCAATAATGACTGATTTTTAGAGAGGAAAACTATTTAAGTAAAGAAAATTATTTCCAATGATTAAAAAAAATAAATTAGAAACTTGATCTGAAGTAGTAGGATCATAGGCTTAGGTCTGGAAGGAATCACCGTCTCATTTTACAGAGGAGTTAATGGAGACTCAGAGAGGTTAACGATTACTGACTTTTATGTAGGCATTAATACTTGCAAAGTGGTTGACATGTATTATCTCATTTGGTCCTTTCAGCGTGTGAGATAAGTTTTCCATGTATCCTTCTGATGACTCCATGTTCAGTACTCTGAGCTTGGCATGCAACACATGGCATGCAGCTCTGCTCCAGAGCCTGTCCAGGTAAATCTGGATATATGTGCCTTTGTCTCTTGACATATTCTATAATTAGCACTGGCTGGAATCTGGTAAATCACATCACTTGAGTTTATTCAATGGCCCCTTCTCCCCAGGATGGATATTCCACTTGGGCACAGCTGACCACTGAGCCCTCTAGACCTTCTCATCCTGGGTGGTCTTGTCCCATGCCAAGTGTAATCTGCCTGCGCTATCTAGGCATCTAGCAGTAGAAGAACTGCCACTGCGTTCAATTCTCAGTTAACCCAGAATCCAGAGAAGAATCTGTTCTGAACAAAGTCTGATATAGATCTGCCCCTCGTCATCCATTCTGTGATGCTCATCCCCCACCCCACCCCCAACCCCTATCTCCCCAGAGCTTGAAAGGGTAAGAAACTTGGCTTGGATTCCAGGGCCCAGAAGTGGGTTTGCAAGTTCCCTTTGTGGGCAGGATGACTGTTTACCATCAAAGGAGATACTGACTGCCTCCCTTGGTATCAACAGAAGCAGCACATCTGCTGCCCGCCCTCTCTAGACATTGTGACTGTCATGACACACAAACAGAAAACTCAAGATATGAGCCCAGGTAATCTCCCAAAGCAATGGAAACCACAGGACAGCCAACAGACATTTAAAATTTAAAGAGAACTATAAGCAGGAGCAGGATGTTTGCCTCTCCCGGGTCGTTTCAAGACCCTTGCTTCCTATTCCCAGCTCCTGCTTAGGACAGGGCCTGGTTTATAGCAAGCCCTTCACAAATGCCTATGGATTGAACGTGGACCCTGAGAAGAGCTGGAATCACGGGAAGGAGAGTAGAGTCTATGAATGTGGTTTGGAAAATAGGAAGATGGGTTATTGTTGTTATGTTTTATATGTAACCTAGCATTTATACAGCACTTTAAGGTTTGCAAAGCATTTTATAAATATTATGTCATTTAATCCTCATAATGGTGTGGGTGGGTACTACTATTATCCCCATTTTAAAAATGAGAAAACTGAGGCAGACAGAGTATAAGTGGCTTGCCCAGGGTGACATAGTAAGTGTCTGAGACTAGATTTGAACTCCGATCTT